TTTACTCGTTTTGATATTGTTATGGCGGAAGCCGCTGACCAGCTAAATAATTCGGCTGTCAAAACACGTGCAACATGTCGAGAATTGTTTGCTTTCACACCGAAAATTTACCGCGTGACTATTTCCACAGGTGATTTTTGACTTTTTAATTTTTGTGAAAACACATGCAGCTGAAATAAAAAAATATTATCTAAATTTTGTATAATTTCACGGTTTTGATATTAACTTGCTTTCATATAAACTTGCTTGCGTGTTGCGTTAATATATAAGGGAAGCCTCACATATCGATTTTTTCCACGAGAAACGTCATATGTTCGTTTGAGGGTGGGGGTGGGGGGGTTGGCAGCTGTGACGTTTCTCTGAAAACATCATGGAAAAAATCGATAGTTTTTATCTTTGCAGAGTATAATAAAGAAAACAATTTGATACAAACAGCAGTCTATATATTCGTAATACCATACCTGTTCTATACCTATACATTTATATTATTACGCCTTATTTGCATTTGAAAACACTCAAATTTCAAGAAATACGCGCTAAAATTATCAATATTTCATGCAAAAAAGTTGTTTTGAGAAACGTTGGAAATTTTGAAGTTCACATATATATATATTAATAAAAAAAGAGTATGTCAGCAGAAGATGACATATTCCTCGCGGAAGCATCGCCAATAGCCGACCGAAAAAGTAGTAGAAAATTACCTTATGTGTACTATAAGAACAAAATATCGATAACTATGTGTGACGTTTCTAGGGGGGTGGGGGGTGGGGGGGTCTCCAGAGAAACGAACATATGACGTTTCTCATGGACAAAATCGATATGTGAGGCTTCCCTAAGTAACTTGTGAATTACGCCAATGTAACGAATTGAAAAAATTTAATGTCAAAATGCTGAAAGAAATCTGCAGCGAATTAGAAGTACATATATATATATATATATATATATATATATATATATATATATATATATATATATATATATATATATATATATATATATATATATATATATATATATATATGCAAAACTTTTTATTATTATTATTATTAAAGTAATATTTTAACAGCTTCCATCACATACGTGGTTTTCAGGGAGGTTCTGCAAATAAATTACAATATAGCCAATAGTAATACGTTATACGTTATAATATATCTTTCTGAAGTATATGTACTAGGAAATTACGATGTAAAAAGTAAAATAAGTCACTACTATAATCCAAAGTTCTTGATATGTTTAAAAGTTATAAGGAAATCGTTTTCTCAAATAGAATTGGGTAAATTGTTCCAATCCTTAAAAATGTAATCTCTATTTTAATGAAAATCTCTATTTTAGTCTGTCACGAATGAAACAGACTAAATGTAATTTTTCTAAATGTAGAAACATTTCTATATTTAGAAAATATATTTTAAAAAATTATAGATTCCTTGATACTTAGGACATACCAAGCTACTATTGTGCGGGAGGATACAGGTTTATCATGATATTTGTTTGATGGAAGCAAAATTTTCCAAGGTTGTAAATATCTTTATCGTGCACAAACCCGCCCTGTACGTTTGACAGTCGAATTATTTGGCTGGTCAGCGGCCTCCGCCATAACAACAACAAAATCGAGTTATATAAACGATGGACTGATGGAGGAATTGACTAACATTGCCTGTTCGGACGAAGAATCAAGATTTATATACAAGACTGTGTCTACAATAATCATTAAGATATCGAAAGTGATTAACACTAATGAATAATGGCAGCTAACGAATGTCAAATAATAAGTCAAATGACAATTCGGGTCATTAAATGACAAGGCTGTCGATCGAGGCATACTTTGTATCAATATAAATATATTGGGGTAGGTTTTCTCTTGACTTTTTAAATAAATCTTCAAAATAAATCGATGATTGATAATTTGTTGACTAACGGACGTCTTTACATGATGCAAATGTATAACTTGTCTTGATTATATTCAGCTGGAAAATGTTTATTATTTATACAATACGGTCCATTACGTCCATAAATAGCGGAAATGCCTGTGTCAGTGCTTTTCCCTAAAAGACTTTAGACAACAGTAAAGGTCAAACGAATGTTCATCACTGTTCTAGGTCCAATAATATGTAAAATTTTGCTCTTTCAAAGCAGAGTTTACAGTAAACATGAACGTTCTTATTTACTCCAAACTGCTGAAAGTCGAAAATGTTGATGTTTTGTTGGCCTGTAGTACCTCCAAAATTTACAGGCCGCAATATTTTATTTTATATTATGTAAGACCAACCTTTAATCTCACCATACAAATAATATTATATTCATAGCAAGTCTAACTTTTGAATTTTAGGGTTTTTATTTCACCCATTTTTAAGGAACTTGGAAATTTCTATTTTAGTCTATCATGAATGATGTCATTTCTATATTTAGAAAACAAATTTGAAAAATTTATAGATACCTTGTTACTTAAGACATATAAAGCTACTATTGTCTGGAAAGATTTAGTTTTATAATTATTTTTGTTTGATGTACAGAGGTTTAAAAATCAGCAAAAATCCACTATTGAGAAACAGCAAAAATCGTATTTTTTCCCCTCAACTTGACCCCCCTGGAACTTTGCCATAATACAATTAGACTGAAAACAAAATGCATTTTGAAACAACCCTTATAAAGGCAATCTCAACTACAAAGTTTGAGAGAAATCTATTCGTTGATCCAAAGAGGTCATGAGGTTCTTACAGAGACTGCCTCTTAAATATTTAGGAGGGGTCTCCATTGTTAAATTAAGAGAATAATTTAAAAAGGGGTCCCATGACATTTTGACATAAGAATCTCCCACCCAACCCTAGGGTATAATGAATGGTCACTTAAAGTACATGCCATTTTCTAACTGGTTGGGCACCTTGCCCCTTTGTTATGGAATATCTATTTCCTACCTTTATCCCCTGGGACAAAAAATTCAAATCAACTCTCCACCCTGATAATGTGCAGATGGTAACAGCAAGGATTAAAGCAAGCAAACCTTACTGGAGTATATACTATTATTAGGAAGCATCAGTTCGCACATGCTAATTTGCCAGTCATGATTTTAAACGTAATATTCCTTATCTCATATAGAATTGTTAAGGTCTTGTTTACATTTTACTGGAAGCAAACTAAGATGCATATCCAATATTTGGGTCTTATCACTCATATGTCAGTTTTGCAGCTTGCCAGCTTCAACTGTTCAACAACATTTGGCTGCAAGGAAAACGTAAACAAGGAAAGAGCATATAACACTTCATCTGTGTTTAAAATATCAATTAATGAATATTCCAACCATTGGCACTTTATAATATAAGTGACATTCAACAATAGATCAATAACATATACAGTATATGCAAAAACATTTCTTTGAATCACTGTATAAAATATTCCTCATAAACTCGCTCCAATCGTCGTACAGCAGAGTCTTTGGAAGGGTAAAACCAAGTTTAACATCCTCAGTTCAAAACAGTTTCCGTGTCCTCTTAGGCAAGCCTGTCCAGCTGGAGAACATCTGTCGTAAAACTATATAATTTTGGCTGTTAATTTTGTTTAGCGAACGAACGATATTTACCAAACCCAGTTGGAAGAACAGCAACTACATAGTTCTCATGTAATAAAAGATGAAGAATTTGATTTCGAGTACGTCGGTAGCAAAAAGAAGGAAAAATTTCAAAGACTAAACGCATTTTTAAGCCGCTCTAAGCACTTAAATTTTGTGGACACTCTTAGGTTGGCGGCCATCTTAGATTTTCTAAATCATTATTATTATAATTTATTACGCCCACAATATCTGGGTGTTGAAAGTCATGTGACCGGCCGGTGCCAGGGCCTTTTCCCGCCTTCCCAATGACAAAAAGGGAAAAGCCCTGGGAACGAGGTTGAACGTCGCGCCTTCGCGCTGCCATGTTTGATAAAATCAATCGGCTCCGCTCCCCCGGATTGAAAACTAAATTATAACGAAATGTCGAATATTTTTGGAGTCACATGATCAGTGTTTACCAGTGCCTCTGCTTCCCGTACAAGAGCCCCTGAACCGCGCAAAGGCCCTGGGTACGAGGTTGTATATTATCTTGGTTTCCATGGGCTTTATTTTAATGTAAAATTCGGAACGAAAGTCTACAGGGACGTGCTGGGGTCTTGCAAAGGACGACAAATGAGCCACGTCTGATGGGGCCGAGGCCCAGTAACGTTTGGATCAAGATTGGCGGGGCGTATTACTGATCAAGTATGAAACATTTCTGCAGCTATAATTAATCTTTTTTCCTCCAAAACTGTTGGCGAGCAGGGAGGGAAGCAGGGGGTGACTTGCCATTTTTAAGCAACTTTCGAATTAATGTACCGTAATTTGCTAATTTTTTCGGTAATATTTTCGTAATTTTAAAACATAAATTGTAATATCTTAATTTTGTTTTTCAATATTAAAATCTATATTTTTTATATTTTCCAATGTTTTAATTTTTGGGGCCCATGATGGCAGGGCCCCACAACAAGTTCTCGTCGGCTCGTTCCCAGCCAGCATGTCCCTGAAACTCTACGTAAAACGTTGTTAAATGTAAATTGAAATTAACTGTTTTTAGCCGATATTTATAGACTCCTAAACTCGAGCTTAAACTTATTACTCGCACTTTGAATTGAAATAAATTTAATTCGTACAGGACGCTAATGAAAATAATTTTCTTTCCTTTCTATCAATACTATCATGAACTTCTACAAAAGTTAATTTAGCTAAGAAACTTTCGCAAACAATGCATAGGAAAGACGTGAACATCCAGAACAACTTTGCTCTATATTAATACCAAAGTCATACATAAACAATTGAAACAAACTTGCCCTATATTTTAGGACTCTCGGCCCGGGCTTACGCCCGGAACGGCGCTCCGCGCCGTTGGCTTGGGGATAAGAATTCGAAAAGGGCGCTTTGCAATGGGATTTGCATCTGCTCGCATTCCGCTTACTTTTACTGTACATAAGCCTGAGTAGCAGTGTCTTTATTTCGTTGAAGGTTTTGAGGTAACCCGTAATTTATTGGAAAATGCTAAAAACCTTAGCGACTGCTAAGCAGTCTAGCTGTATATTAGTATAGTCTAGATTTAATGTCCACCAGACTAGTACATCTTAATGTATAATTTGATATGCATATTGTTATATCTCGGTTCTAAACATTTTCGGAACAATTTCTTAATTCCATTGTTCAACACACGAAAGTGGGAAATATTTAATTAAATCTGAGTTTATTTATTTTCATTTCAAATACAAATACATAAACGAGAAGTTTAATCAAAAGTGTTTTAATCAAAAGTCAAGGAATAGTTGTTGTTTCAAGTCAACGTTGAACATCCAATTACCCTTCGAAAAAAAGCCAGCATTTCTGATAAATTTCCTGCACCATCTTCTCTCTGAACATGTTTCGCATTTTCTCACCATTCCATTTTGTAATTGTTGTACCCGAATCGAACACGAGAGAGATTTCCTCGCCATTCTTTCGGAAATAATCACTTTGTCCAAACACCAATGACGTCACACCGTTGTTGATTTCGTCACAGAGACAGAATTCTGGTATTGCATAGGGAATCGTTGCATATTCTTGAGAATAGTTAGCTTTAATATAAGCTTTCTTCACTTTCATAAGACCACCAATAGATTTAACTCGTGTTACTGTAATAGGAAATATATATGACTTCTTCTTTTGTCTATCTTAGATTTTGCTGTGGTTGTCACGATTTGGTTTTTCTCGGGTAGGGGGAGCTCAACCGATTGCTGCTGGGGTCAAGCTGCCGCAGTAAAATACATCTTTCCTAGGCAGATTTTGTCTCACATAAAATGCTGTTGATGCTGTATGCATTACACAATTTCGTGTCAGAGGATTATGTAAAGTCAAGGGAGATAACTAAAATGATGTAAAATAACGTAAGAAAGTATAACCATGTGGCTATAACAGTAAATATACTCACGGTAACTAGTACAGTTGATATTTTTGTCAAAGAGATCTTCAACATCATCGACTGATAAACACTTTGGACATTCGTTTTCGACTAGAGAGAAAGAGACATGTTACATATAAGCACCGGAATAACTAGAACTAACGGCATAAAACTTGTTACAAGATGCACGGCTTTCTCATTAGTTCATGTGAATTTTTCATTTTGGTATTTCTTCCCATAATTATGTTATGTATGACTACAGAATGAGAATCTGTTGTTCAATATTCATAATATAACACCTCATAAAATTCCGGACATGTAATTCCTGGATTGTAATCTCGTGATATGGTATTAAAATTCCCATTTTCCCCCGCGTAATGTGACGCCTACTATTACGACCTATCGCACAATAGCGCGTGTGTACTTAAATATCAATTCAATCTTTCAAAATTATATTGTGATCGTGATTGTAGTTCATTCAACCATACGATTTCAACACAGCGACAGATGAAATTAAATTCCAATACATAATTCATGTAAGCAAAATGGCGCGTATAAAAATATAATATTTTAGGATGATTTTTACGATAGAATAACCTTGAACTCTATACACTGATTTTCAGTGTATTCTATTTTCTGTATTTTGGTGTGACATCGCATGGCAGAGTGGAAATCGATCTTTCACCATGAACATATTTTTACAATTGGACTAAAAAAATTCAGTAGTTCTATTTTTTCAATCGTGCATGCCGAGTGATATTTTTAGATTTCCTGCAAACTGATTGGTTGCAGGGGTGGGCATATAAATTCTACTGATATTCAGTTGTCACGCCAAGCATTTTAATATAATGCGGTAAGCATGAATATTTTTCTGGTTATTGAAATAATTTATCTAGATTTATCTTGTGGTTCGATAAACTAAAAAAGATAAATGGCAGCAAACTTACTTCTTTCCCCATAACAGTCTTTCTCCGTGATCTTGTACGTGACCTTGGCTTGACTTTCTATAGTAATATGAGACCAAAAAAGAAATGAAAAATCAACACGACATGCTACAAATAGCACGGAATATGTTACAAGAAAGAGTACATAAGTAACCTAATGAAAAACGCGTTCCGAACGCGTTCTAGGACGAGATCCAGACGCGTTCCATAACGCTTTCCGGACGCGTTCCGCGAGACATTCCGAACTCGTTCTAGAAAGGTTTCCTGATTCAGAACAAGCGAACCGTAATCAGTTCGATAATACTCGGAAATTATGCGAATTTCTGATTCATAGCGTTCCATATACCATACTCCATAGAAAAATTCCTTGCGAAGAGAAACAAACACATTTTACAATGGGAAAGCTTTCCTTGTATGAAATAACTGCGCCTTGTAAATAGCGTTGCTATAATTTCGATATTCAAAATTGCACAGATGGCACCGTCTCTGTCAGAAAAATATAGTTAGACATGATTCGCCTCGGCGAGATAAAATTCACGACTAAAATATCTTCTTAATTAATATCGTCTGTAAAAACGCATGAATATTGTGTGCCGGAAGAGTTACTTCGGGCGAAATTCTAGGCGAGCAATTAATGCGATTCAACTAGACTATAAATCAATCAATTCATGCAACGCTTCTGTCATTTTCGATATTTTACACTTGAACATGTACAATATTTATAAAGTGTGTCGCAAATCTTGGCAGTGTCAATAGTTTTAATAACAAATATGATAAGACCAAACTTACATCGCAAATGTTGATTAGAAGAATAAACCAGCCAGCGATAGCATTCATATTAATTAAACATTTGCTGATCCAGTGTGAAAAATATGGTTTAATGTTTTGATCTTACTAACGCGTCAGAAATTCTTGTATTCGTATTATAATAAATCTCGCGTATATACAAGTGCTAAATCTAGAGCAAGATTTACAAGAAAGATTGCATACATATGATTATTGTAGGAAGTGTATCTATTCTAAAAATTAACATATGAATATATGTTTTTTAGGTAATTAGTATAACGTAATCAAACACTCGGTGTGCATAAATTACTAGCATGACTTTGTTTGCATGTGTGAAGGTTAACACAACAAAGTCTCTGGCAACCATCGGAGTCACGATTTTGATTTTTATATTGGAATTGGGAGGCAACCTTTCTTGTAAACCTTGTCCAGATTTATAACTTAAATATATACCAGCTGAGATTTATTATAATACGAATATACAAGCATTCCTGACGCGATAATATGTTCAAAACAATAAACCGTATTTTTCACACTGGATCAAAATTTGTTAATTAATAAGGATGATATCGCTTACTGGTTACCTTCTAGTCATCATTTGCGAGGTAAGTTTGGTCTTATCGTATTTGTTGTTAATTAAACTACATTGATACTGCCAAGATTTGCGACACACTTTGTAAATATTGTTCAAGTGTAAAATATCGAAAATGACATGCAGAAGCGTTTTATTCCAACGCATATATTATAGCATATATTTTAGTCCAGCTGATCAAGTCTTTTTCTCCGAAAAAAACTATTCCGCCACACAATATTCATGCCTTTTTATAGATGATACTTAGTCGTGCATTTTATCTCGTCGTGGCAAATCATATGTTGCCTAACTAAACTTGTCTGACAGGGACGGAGCTATCTTGGTTGATTGTTTTGTCATTTATAGTACCCGGAATTTTCCGAAGAAAGAGAAATATCACGAGTTTCAAAGAGAAATATCACGCGTTTGGAACGCGTTCCGAACGCGTTCGCAGCATTAGGTTACTTCTGAGCAGTACTGTACATGATATGTACATAAGATAATCAAGAGATGAAATGTGAATTTGTAATATCTTTAATTAACATCACGTTTTACCACAAATCACAAGAAAACAATGCAACAATGAATGATGCATCAAAATGTCGGATTTTGGCCCAACTCATTTAGCTCCAACACAACTTTATATTCCATAACTTGATGTAGCGTGAGAAATCGTCATTTAAGTTTCTTATTTTTAGAAAAATAGGACACTAAATTTTCTAATGACAAGCTAAGTGCTTCTTAAACACAAAAATTTGGACGATATATATGGAAGGCCATTGTAGCCGTATCTAACAGTTGCTAAAACACTAAAAGCTCTATACATTTGGTGCATCATTCTCACTATAATTCCAAAATGACATCCCAGGAGTTAGAGTGAAAAGTAAAGGTTAAGAGGATAGTAATTGGGATTAGTAATCGGCTATACGATTAGAATAAAGCATTAGGTTTAATTGAAATCAGGTTTCTTCGATGGAATTCAATAGCTTGTCGCTTTATGTAAGATTAACAGTTGGTATAATAAATAGTAAAAGCATAAAATCAGTCCTTACCTGGGTCATAATAATCGTAAACTTTGACAACACCTGGCTTCGTTTTTTTCACCAATGTACTTTGAATAATATCCAGGGAGAAACTCATCGTTTTTATCTGCAAAGGTAAATTAAAAGTCTTTCTTGGGTATATGTCGTCCACGCGTCTTTCACTATTACGCGTATGTTAAATACAGCCTGTAAGATATACTGACAAAAATATTTCCCCACATTGAATAAGCGATACAGATAGACAACATTTTTTTCTAGAATTGTAAATAGACTTTTTTATCGTTTTAACCTTTAGGTTAGAAAAATCCTCTATTGGGAAATATGTTTGAGACTAAGTAATGGTATATATTTACTTACCTCATCAAAATAAAGAATAACATTCTGCCCTTCAATTTCATAACGTTTTAAAATGGCTTCATTCTCTCCTTCAATGCTGGCCAAGAATTCAATAACATTTTTTGGTTGTTTCAATTTCTAGAAAATGATTACCTTATGAGCAGATGCTTATCTGGAAGAAGCGATAAATGAAGGAAGACACCCTATACAGTCAGTGGAAGGACTTGAATGTGAAATAAGCTACCCAAGAAACACATAATCATATTTCTGCATATATCATGACACATATAGCTATTCATATATCGCTGTATATAAATAACTATATAATGACACATATCATATCGGCTGTACGATAAATTAAAATACATCATCGAAAACAAGGGATAATTTTGAAATGCACGGCCATGCTTGATTACAGTAATTTCTAAACTTACTTGTTGAAGAGCTTTTTCGTTCACTGAAAATCCCGAGACAAGCTTGACATCCACTATTGCCATGTTGGAAACATTTTCTTTAAGCCACCTAAAATAAGGTGTGAGAAATAGTCATCGATCATATAAAGGAATGAAACCAGAAATCTAGGGTGAGTGTACCTGTTTACCTACAACAGGTAACTTAAACCATATAGATAATCAGAATTGAATACACTAATTATCTGGTATTCAGTATACAGTAATTTTGAACTAAACTAGATCTCTATTTTACAACACGTTCTCGTTCGCATGAGCGGATTATTAAAAATATTCACTTCCTATTTGTAAGAAAATCGAGCGGAAATTGAAGAAAGATACATCAATTTGAATGTCGCACTTCTAGTGTATAGATTCCAGTTTTTCGTTGCAATGACTTGTAATCGATTAATAAAAAACCTCATATCCTGAAATAGTTCGGTGATTTTGCTTTTTTAAGATTCAAAACAAGCGAACATCAACATATACATTCCGCGTATGCTCAGTTGACATAGATTGATCTATACATCAGGTGCAATTTCTCAGGTGCCACTTCAGGGTACAGTTTTCGGAACGCGAATTTAACTAAACTTATCGTAAATGCTTAAAATAAAAAAATTATCATTGTATGAATGAATAGTCTACGAAGACATAATGCTCTGGGAACTGAAGAGAACTCGTTGTAGGCCTATTACCGAGCAAGCAGCACTATATCCTCTCTATCCATATTATATCTACAATTAAAGCTGCACAAAGAATAATTATTTTAAATTAGATGGTACAAACCTTGCTTCAATCTTCAACTGCAAGGGATAGCATGCCGCCATTTCTTCTTCATCAGTTGCTTCACGACGATGTACAGAAACGGCGACTTTAAAAGCTGGAACCTCGTCAGAGGCAGGAATGTTGTACTTGACATTAGTCTGGAGGAATAAAATACAAGCTAGGTCAAATTAATTCATTATGATTGTGCACTAATATTATTTTTTCGGGTAATGTTTCGTCATTCCAGGAAGAAATTTAACACGTAATTAGAAATGATCGGAAATATAGTCAAAAATTTAACTTGAAATATGATTTCCTTCGTATATTTTGTTCAAAAAAAAATATCAAAGTTAGCAATTAACATGAATGATAGAGAAAATAACGAATTTCTACTGAAAGGAATTGTTGAATTTTTAGCCAAATATTAATTAGCCAAATATTAAACATATAGTATATTAAAAAACATCGACAAGATACACGTACTGATATAAACAAATTAATGACGCATAACCGAAAGTATATGTTATCATAGTGTATATATACAGTTCCTGGGTAAAAATTTTCAGCTTCCTTGGGAGTTTGTTTAATAAACATACTACATCGATTCACATTTCTTATAAGCAACACCACTCAGTACAGTTCTCCAAATAAATAACTTGAATATATTAATGAAATCAGGAAACCATATAGTGCCTGTCCAGTACACCTTTGTCTCAATTTGTCCCCCCATGCTTAATTATACTTTCCCCTGCACTGTTCTGTTTGCAGTACACATGTTTTTTTATTCCACTGTCTTTTCACTTCCGCAAACTTGGTTGAACCACTGGGATACGCAGCCTTATCTGATTATATAGGCGAATTAAATTACATGCAATTGTAGTCAAACATGAGAAGTGCGCTAACATTTCGGTTGAAAAATATTAATCGATAACCTATACTTTATACATCCAGGAGAACATCCAGAGCCGATGGATGTAGAGTTAAAAAATGAGCTTAGACTGATTTTTCTCACCTGCAATAAAGCGCATCCATTTCCAGAAGCACTGATTGCTAGGGCATTTGGCAGAAGGTCATTTGGAATTTCTGCTCGTTGCAATACCAATTTGTTTTTTCCAGTGACCGTGAAATCTTGAGTGAAAATATTCTTTAAATTCGCAGAAACAGTAAGGTTTGTCTGGGAATCCTTTGTGTAGAATTTCTGGGCAACTTCCGAAAGAGCTTGTAACGCGATACAGGTATCCTAAAGTAAGAATATAGTTAGAAACACAAATATAGACATTTCTTCTTTGGAAGTGCTCATATATGTTATTCTCTGATGCGTTCATGAGAATTATTCAAAGTTTCTAACTTCGGGCTGCTGTTAACGATGCAGAAGTACGATTGGAGTAACGCTTTCGATAGACTGAATATGATTGATTAATATGGAACGCAATAGGCAATTCCAGCTTTTAATTTATGCGTGTAGAGAGCGACGGGAAGTAAGACATATACTTGTTGATTATGCTGGAAAATATCAATAAAAACTGCCGAAACAACCGTAATGTTTCAAAATTTACATCAACTTCGTTCCCAGGGCTTTCGTGTGAAGACGAGCGAAGAGAAATGAAAGCCCTGGTCTGGGCCAATCACATGATACGGGCATGTTTGACAGAACTCGTCAATGTGTGACGACATATTCTTAACTGAAAGATACAAGTTTTCGAAACGAATAAACAGCCAAAACACTTCTCAATCGATCGATATTATTCATGAAAAGCGAAGTTTGGCACGAATCAGCTGAAATCTCTGAAGACACCGTCGATGTTTTCTAAGATATACCGATATTTCTGGAGATTTTCGACTACAGTAACAGGCAAAACCGCCAAATGTGCAACTGTATCTCGACATGATTTCCAATCTAAGCGTCTGCAAGTGGCGATTCACACGAAATGTGCTATCTCTCGTCCTGAACAATATGGCTTTGCCTTTGAAATTTAGTTTAAATATGCTCTTAGACTTCACGCAATCTTCGGAAAGGCACGCGATCGCACGCGAACGCCTTGGCACACGCTGAAGCTCATAGTGAGGCGTACGATAAATCGCACGTCCCCATTAAGGTGCGGTGCGATGTATTTTTCCCAAATATATCTTCAATATACAAATTACAATTGTACATTACATCGTATGAAGAGTATAACAACACAAAGTATATAAAAATATCACCGTATGAACGATATAACAACACAAAATATATAAAAGTTATATTACCAATACAAAAATAAAAAATGTTCACCGCCATGGTGCTTTCATCGCCAGTACTCCAATTTTCGGAATTCCAGCGGTTATTCTCATAATAAGTTATATTCTAGCGCAAAGTTAGTTTAATAACGCATTGAAACACATAACCCAAATTGGGTTATGTTAATATGATCGCACGCCACTGCACGCCTAGCAAGCCAGAGGAGTGCGATTCACTGCACGCACGCCTTCTCTTTCCTGTGATGGCCTGGACTTAGTTCGATATAAAGAAACACTAATTATAAAACCTCGCGTAACCTGTTTACGCTGTACAGCATATGTTCGGATTGGCTTGTTTCGTTACTTGCCATTCAAGCGACCTCGTACCCAGGGCTTTTTGCTTCCGCGGTTGGATGGTCAGCAAAAAAGGCCCTGGCTTCGTCTGTTCTGTTTTACAACCTGATTCATCAATGGTTTTGAATGTAATTATTCAATATATGTGGGAATAATTATTATTTTGGTGGAACGAGAGTACATTGACAAATTTATAATTAGTTCTTTGTATGTTTGCATGGTGATAAAATATAATAGGTTTTGTTTGTGGAAACACCACGTAAATTTATTACTGCAAAGCTTTCGATCCGTAAGCCCGGATCTTCATCAGTGCTAATAATATGTGACTTGTTTAATTCACACGCTCTTTTATATACAAAAGTGTCGTGATCTGTTGGCTCGCGTCATTTGAAATTTAATTAAAACTCTTTCTCGCCACATATGGAACGCCATGTGTGCAAAAATTATTTAACGTTAATTATATCATATCATGACTAAAACTGTCATTATATATAAATAATTGATAAACAAACAGACATTATATCAAATCATGACTTATTCGTTTTTGTCATTATTTGATATAATGTTATCAACATTAAGCATTGTATCATATCATGAACTTTCGAAAAGTCATGATATGATATCATGACATTTCGACAAAATCATTATATGATATCATATGCATTTGTGTAAGTCCTGATTTGATATAATGCTAATGCGTTGCACTATGATATCAAATAATGACTTTTCAGTTGATTCATGATATGATATCATGTAAAGGAACTTTTTCATTATATCATATAATGAAACAGCGCCGAAAAGTCATTATTTGATATAATGCAATAGCGTAGTGCGCCATCTGTCCAAAAATTAAAACTGTCCAAAAATCAATTAACCTTATAATAACTCAAACGTCCGGTAACTTAAAACCTCCGGTTCATGGGCCGAAGGCTACAAACAAATCTCTTCGATTACGATCGATCTTTCTCCGTTTTGCGCTTTCAGCAGCTAAGAACCCTGCATTTTTTTTAACTTAAAAAGGCTGGATTATGGCGAATGATGAACGTTGCTGGGAAGACGCAATAACTAGAGCCGTGCAAGGAGCAGTTTGGTCCGTATTAACAGACAGAGGGCCATTGCATTTAATATCCACCCCCCTCCCCCCCCCCTCTATGGATGAGGTCAGTAAGATGTTAACCTCTAAGAAAAAAAGATCAAAGTGCCGACACAAAACCCTCTTCAGAAATTTGTAAATTTTCCGCTTACGCCTCAGAAAAATCGCAGACATCAAAAGATGCCGACAGGCTTAACCTCTCAGAAACGACTATTGGGTCACCGCTGGACATTAAAAGGGAATGCCCCCAGAGGACCAATTCTCGTCGCCGGTATAAAGCTCGACCAGTACATGTTTAAGTTGAAACGTTATAGAACAGGTTTGTATGACCTACATAGTGTTTCAAATAAGTACTGAGGCATTTTAATGCTTAAAAGCTTTACTTTGAATATTTATCGATATCTTACTTTACATATTAAAAGACCGCAGAGAATTATACTCAGAATAGTATAGAATAGCAGCCTGAGCTATTCCTATAAATAACGGTGAGTATAATTTTCTGCGGCCTTTATGTAAAATAAGATATTGATAAATATTCATAAAGGTAAAGCTTAATGCCTCAATACTTATACGAAACAATATGTAGGTCATACATACCTGGAAAACTTATAACGTTTGAACTTGATCTTGTGCTGGTCGCGCTGTATGCCGGCGGCGAGAATTGGTTTGGTGTGGACACGGTCGCCACTCGCCATATCCAGCCTTCTTAAATTAAAAATATCGACTGCAAGCAGGATTCTTAGCTGCTGAAAGCGAAAAACGGAGGAAGATCGATCGTAATCGAAGAGATTTGTTTGTAGCCTTCGGCCCATGAACCGGAGGTTTTAAGTAACCGGACGTTTGAGTTATTATAAGGTTAATTGATTTTTGGACAGTTTTAATTTTTGGACAGATGGCGCACTACGCTATTGCATTATATCAAATAATGACTTTTCGGCGCTGTTTCATTATATGATATAATGAAAAAGTTCTTTCACATGATATCATATCATGAATCAACTGAAAAGTCATTATTTGATATCATAGTGCAACGCATTAGCATTATATCAAATCAGGACTTACACAAATGCATATGATATCATATAATGATTTTGTCGAAATGTCATGATATCATATCATGACTTTTCGAAAGTTCATGATATGATACAATGCTTAATGTTGATAACATTATATCAAATAATGACAAAAACGAATAAGTCATGATTTGATATAATGTCTGTTTGTTTATCAATTATTTATATATAATGACAGTTTTAGTCATGATATGATATAATTAATGTTAAATAATTTTTGCACACATGGCGTTCCATAGCCACAGGCCATATCGCGTCGATCCTGAGCGATCGACGGCTATAAAATTTTATACCTTCGGTTCAGTGCATGCTATGAAGACAGAAATACCACCAATCGATTCAGAAATAAAAGATAGACTAGTTCCAAACGATAGTTATAGTCATTATTAACATTGTAACGATTTATGGGCCTTTGAAAGTCAAACACGATAATATTGTATCAAATTACGCAATTGTCTGAACAAAATATAGACTAGCCATACCTTTCGCTGAAAATAACTTCGGCCCCTTCGCACATATCGTCTTTGTAATAGTCTTGTTCGAATCCCCATCAAAAACACTATTTAGAGTGTTATTTGCAAGCCTGTATCTTCAAATCTGTATCTTTTATCAATATATTTCCATTTCTTGTCCGACAGTGAGCTCGAAGTGAGTTAATCCCAACCGGAAATACGTCTGAAAACCGTCAAAACAATGCGACGTTTGTATCATATGACCCTGGAAAGGCCAGAAATGGATTTGCAAGGTCAAATTGCACCTACACGCGGGCCAAGCGGTGAGTAAATATATGATTGTTTCGGTTTGTGTAATGCTCTGACGGCACTTGACCCCCCGTTCGAAAGGTTATTTTATTAGGATTTCAATGGTGGCTTTTATTTACAAGGGGGGTAAATACTCGCCGAGATATTTATATTAGAAAAATTGTGTCGTAATCTGATGGCACATCAACCACGTCATTCCAAACGTAGTGAAGTGATTCCAATTAACGCGCGCGCATCAAAGACAAGAGAAATTAATTTGGCACATTAAAGAGAGCACGCCACGCACTATCTAATGGTTTTCCCTCCTGATCTATAGTATTGTGCTTCTCAATTTCAATTGACTCTCTCATTTTGCGAGAGAACTTGTGACTATCAATCGCTAAAGCAACCATTTTAGCGATTGATAGTCACAAGTTCTCTCGCAAAATGAGAGAGTCAATTGAAATTGAGAAGCACAATACTATAGATCAGGAGGGAAAGCCACTAGATAGTAC